ATTTTTATCAAAGTAAATTGATATATACAAAATAATTAAATAAAACACATTTGTTTTTAATTATTTTCTAATAAAGTAAATCTAGATTTTTTCTTTTTATGTGCCGTGTCCATTCAGGACGTAGGCGATCATTGTTCTCCCCTTCTCCTATCCCTTGTATCTCTCAATATGTTTTGTCCCTTTGCTACTTCTCCCAGGACATGTTCTCTCATCCACTTGGTTAAGTCCGTTAGGTATGTCATGCGTTGCTTGCCAATGTCTCTCTTCTCTATTCGACCTGGGAGTATCAGATTCTCCAAGTCCTCCTTTCTCATTACGTGTCCAAGAAATTTCAGCTGTCTTACCTGATGTTAAATTGCATTCTCTCCAAAATCCCATCGTTGCTCACACGCTCAGTCCATGATATCCTTAGCATCCTTCTGTAGAACCATATCTCTGCCGCCTCGAGTCTTTTCTTTATCTTTGAGGAGAGTCTCTTCTTTATCTTTGAGGAGACCGTCCAACATTCGCTGCCGTAAGGGATGACAGATATCATGTATTTTCTTTCAGTATCTGTCTATATTTCTGAGATGAGGTATTATGTACATTATTTACATTATTTATTACAACGTTTCAGCCGTCGAACTGAACCCTTTATTTCTAGTTCCACATAGATGGATATCAGTTATCAGTTAATTGTTATCTCCTGTTGATTTCCCTCTGAAAGTTGTCCACAGCCTTAACGGGGTATTGAACTCACACTGTTTGGGTCACTGCCTCTAACCCCTTTATTCACTGAGCCATGTGTCCTTGAGGACATCTGTGTAGGAATTTCGGGGTATTATAAACCTAATGTCTTCAGCGATCATTTTTTTTACTATTGCTCATACTGCAATTTTTGCTGTTATTATTCCATGTTTTTGCCAGAGTTCATATTGCAATTTTTGTTATCGCTTTTCTCTGGCACTCCTAAACATGGCACGTGGATCTAGAACGGTAAAACCAGTGAGCAGAATAAAGGGTTCAGTTAGACATTCTAACCACCTGAAGAAGGCCGGATCGTACAACGGCCGAAACGTTATAATAAATATGGCGACAACGATGAGGACAATAGTCCGAATAAGTAAATCATGTATTCCTTTCTTTGTCAGCAACAAAATCTTGCTGTCTCGTAATACTCTGTTTAGCTTTTTTGATGCGGCTTTGGCCATCCCAAGACCTCTTCAGTTATCCGTGTTGTAATTACCGTCTTCTGTCAGAACACTTCCCAGATATTTAAATTTCCGCTCCTGCTTGATTTTAGTGTCCCCGACCTATAAATCGCATTTTGGCCTCATCTTTTTGCTGATGACCATGCATTCTGTCTTCTGTCTTCTGAATTCTTGGTTTTTTTTTTTAATTTATATTCTAATAAAGTAAATCTATTTTTTAATTTATTTTTTTAATAAAGTTAATTAACATAAGAAAAATAATTCAGTGAAACATTGTTTTTAATTATTTTTTAATAAATTAAACCAAAAAATCAAAGGAAAATGAAGGAGTTTTTTTTTTATTTTTAATTATTTTAATTAAGTAAATCGTAATATAATTTAATAAAATATAATTTTCTTCATTGAAATAATAAAAAAAAGGTTCGTATTTTACATAAAGCCTTTTTCAAATACCTTATTTGAAGAAATATGGATGTCAGTTATCAGTTATTTCCTGTTAATTTCCCTCTCCAAGTTCTCCACTGGCTTAACCGGGTATTGAACTCATACTCTTAGGGTCCTGTCAATGATCTAACCAACGTCTTTATCCACTGTGCAATGTGTCCTTGAAGACAGTGGTTAAAGGCGATCCAGTGACCTGACCCAAAGAGTGTGAGTTCAATACCCGGTTAAGGCTGTGGAGAACTTGGAGAGAGGGGAATTAACAGGAGATAACTGATAACTGACATCCATTAAACATGGCACGTGGAACTAGAATAGTCTACCCCAGTGAGCGAAATAAATGGTTCAGTTCGACATTCCAACCACCTGAAGAAGGCCGGAGCATACAATGGCCGAAACTTTGTAATAAATATAGCGACAAAGATGAGGACAATAGTTCGAATAATGTAAATAGTGTACATAATACCTCATCTCAGAAATATAGAGAGATATTGAAGAAAAATATTCACTAATTAAGTTTTTAATCTTTAATAAATTACTTTTATTTGGTTATAAAAAGTTGTCTAAGTCTCGAGTTGTCCTGGCGCTCAGTCGGCGGTGTTGAGCTATTCCATCCCGGAAAATAACATGGACTGAACATGTAAGCAACAACAATGTTTTAGAGAAAATGGCAACAAAAAAGAAACTTATACTTATACATCAGGAGAACACATTTTAAATTTCTGGAGCACAAAATTTGGAGAGATGAAAATATGAGACTCAGAGGACAGACTTAAGTCAAGAGAGACAAAGGAAAATAACTCATAATATAACCACTAAGCTAGAAAAAAGGTTTAGGAGAGATAATAAAAAGACTTCATTTATTAAGAGCTAAAAAGGACAGGAGGCTTTGGATACTCATGAACACCAGCGTTCTGAAGAGATATAACACATCGATGAAGCGAATAGTAACTTCATGGGCCGGGTTTAATGTGGATTCTTCGAGCCCATTCATCTTCCCACAGTACCTAGGACCCAACACGGATGCCTAGATCAAGTGCCTTGAGGGGGTAGTGCTGCCCTGGGTCAAGAGAGTATCTGGCAACTGGACTCTGCACCAAGCGACACAAGAAGGAGAACCCAGTCATAGCTGTCAAGCAATTTTTACGATATCACCCGTTATATCTGTCCACCTAACTCCCCAGACTACAACTCCTCTTGATTATTATACGCGGAGCGCAATTGAGCGGGAGACCAACACAAGATGAACCAAAGGCAAGGATTATAACAGCATTCACCAACTTAAACCTGGAGATTCCGAAGTCGTCTGGAGGCCGTGATTGAAGCAAATAGCGATTTTATTGAATAACTTTAATCTTTAGTATTTCAAAATATTTTTGTGTAATTTTGGTAAATATATCTGTCAAAATGAATATTATTTTCATTTTTGGTTAATTATGACAATTTATCCATCGCACCCTATATATATGTTTAACATTCTTTTTATTGATACAAGTATTTAAGTAAATGCTCTGTTTATAACAAACAGTATTAAATAACATTTACCGGCCTGAATATCCGAGAAATTTTCATAGAAAATATTCGTCCTTCGACAGGATTCGAACCTGTATCCTATACGGAACCGTCATATAGCCTGACGTGCCTTACTTCTCGGCCACAAAGGATCGTTCGGTTGGCAAGGTCGAATTATATATATATATATTGTTGTGGCCAAGTAAATGGTTAAAGAAATAACAAAACAAGTGTTGCACATATGTAATATATTAAACAGTAAGTACAACAGAAATGTATTACACGACGAATGAGTGTGTGTCGGTTGACCCAGCGTTCAATCTATTCGACTGTTATATTTATTAGACTCCCCACGAGGTAGGATGTTGCACAAGGCCGAGTTTAACGTGAGCCAATTCGAGCCCGTAGGCTCGGCCAAAAATTCCGCATAGACCCCGTATAAAAAACGGGTCTTGTAGCTGTTTCCCGAGACTAGACTCTGCGCATGGACATAGACTCGTCTGGGGATCCTCTCTGCCCGGAGGCAGAGAGTTTGACCTGCACAGCTGGAACTGATCTATTCGACTGTTCACCCCCAGGCCTTCTCTCCTACTAATCTTATAGTAGGCGGAAGAGTCCAGCATAGACTCTTTAGATGGAGGACACCACAACATATATATATATATATATATATATATATATATATATATATATATGTGTGTGTGTGTGTGTGTGTGTGTGTTTGTGTGTGTATGTATTTTAATAGTGCAATAAAATTATTTATCACTAACGAACTTATTAACAATACACAAACCCTAAACAATACCACAAATGTACTATAAACGATTAAAAACACTATGAATACGCGCAGTATTCAACCTATGACAATAACAAACTCCAACTCGACGTCAATAAAATATTAACAAATTTCGAAATAATCATACGACAGATATTTCTGACCTATTCTTGATGCTTATTAATAATATATTTCCACATAACAACATTAACTGATATGATAATAAACTGAACAAATACGAATAGAAATAACTAACGAAACAGAAACAAACACTGCCTCTCCTCGAGATCATATTAAACCGTACTAATAATGACCTAGAACAAAATGTCTGCTGTAAATCTAATAATATAATTGACCTCGTATATTTCTATTCTCACCAT